TCACCCTGGCTCCTGCCCCGGCGCACCCTGGCTCCTGCCCCACTCACCCTGGCTCCTGCCCGGCGCACCCTGGCTCCTGCCCCACTCACCCTGGCTCCTGCCCCACTCACCCTGGCTCCTGCCCGGCGCAGCCTGGCTCCTGCCCCACTCACCCTGGCTCCTGCCCGGCGCACCCTGGCTCCTGCCCGGCGCACCCTGGCTCCTGCCCGGCGCACCCTGGCTCCTGCCCCAGTCACCCTGGCTCCTGCCCGGCGCAGCCTGGCTCCTGCCCGGCGCACCCTGGCTCCTGCCCGGCGCACCCTGGCTCCTGCCCCAGTCACCGCGCCGCCGCCGGGGCGCTCAGGGCTCATGCCCACCGCAGCCCCAATGCAGAGAGCTCGGAACTGCCGGCGCAGAGAGCTGCGGGCGAGAGGGAGCCGCTGCTTCCCGTCCTCGGGTCCCCGCAGCAGGACAAACAGGTTCAGTGACGGGGGGCTGCCCAGGGTCGCGTTTCAGCAGGAGCCACCCAGGGCCGGGCAGCCTCGCCAAGCGCACGGGGATGGAAAAGGTTCATCTTTAGTTAAGCTCCCCACAGTGTCCCCGCTGGGGTGGGAAGGGTGGGGGCTGCAGCCAATGCCGGCTTGAGCGGCGGCTGGTGACTGGTGTAACTGGAAAAGGCGCTGCTTTGCACTGGGATGATGCGGGAGAGGTCCGAGATCCCTGGAAACTGTCGATTTATGCTACAGAGCAGAGTGGGAATGTTGAGCTGAGAGGTGCTGGGCAGCACCGAGGGCTCAGCCTGGAGGTGGGGAGACCCTGCTGCTCTCACCCTTCCACCTGAAGGACCAGACCTGCCTGTTCCCAGCCCGCAGAGCACCTGGGGTGACGGGGAAAGGCAAGGAAGGACAGAGGGAGGCCCTTGGTGGTGACAGGCTGCAATCACAGATATTCATGGGGTTTCTGCCTGTTCACACACCCTTCACAGAGGTTAGAAAAATCCCCTATTGGGAACAGTTCCTCCATCCCTGCTGAGCTGGGGAACATTAAGTAGGTGATAATAAGCGGTCCCTGAGTGGGAGGGCCCGCTCTGCTCTGGAAAGTGCTACTCCAGACAATTTATCATTCAAACAAAGAGGGGGAAAAGGGTTAAACGCTGCCCAGCCTCTCCAGCCAGTGGTGGCTTTGGTTATCTGCGGCATGGCTGCAGGGCTACATGGTGACTGTACATGTTTGGGGATCAGGAGTTAAGTGTTTAAATGATAAGTGATATCTTAAAAACATAAGTTTAGCAATGAATCTTTACCGACAATACTATAGTATTAGTTAATAGGCAGAATTAACTCACTGGCCTGGGGCCAAGCCCGTCACAGCCAGAGCCAGAGCAGCTGAAGCTGCTTTTCACTTGGGTTTTGCTTTTACCAGATTTTCTGCTGCAGGGAGAGAGACTCCAATTTCTGTAAAAATATGCTTGTGTTTTCCTCCTCCCAACCTGCCCCTGTGAGCTCGAGGTTCCTTGCTGCCCAAGGGATTCAGCCAGGACCCGGAAAGATTTCCTCGTGCATGTAGAGGTGTGACCAAGGGTGTTGATTCAGGACCCAGGGTGCTGATACTCTGCAGGACATCTCTCAATGGCCCTGGAGATCCCTGGGTTCCCTGTCTGCTCTTGGTGGGACTTTACAGGCAGATTTACTCTAGGTGCCAGCACTCTCCATCTCTCCCATCCCACATAAACCTCTCTCCCCCTTAGCTGGGGCATTGAGACTGACCAAGTAGCTTCCTTGGACCAAAGAAGCATCTCCTGAATCTTTCTGGTAGCTGAGGCTCCTTGGAATCCCCAAAGACCACTGCCCTGAGTCTTGAGTCTGTGCCTGACAGCCCTGTGTCACCACTTGCTGCTTTCTTTGTGCCTCCCTTGACTCCCAAGTGTCACCTGCTGCATCTCTTTAACCTCACAGAAGGTGAGAGGGAGCCACCTCCTCCAGGTGTGATGAGCCGAGGGCTTCAATGCAAATGACCATTTTCTTTCTGCAACAGGAACTGAAAATGCAGCATTAAATGGGCCACCATCAAACCGGTTTTAATGTCCCCCTAGATGTTATCTCTCCTGGCCCTGTTGACCTGGGAACCATCTTTTGGTAAACCAAAATGTGGGTCCAGCTGGAGGGGTGGTTGTCCCATTTTTGTGACCCCCATCAAGGCTGTACCTGATGCTCTCTGCAGCAGGGCTTTAGTGTGCTGTGGCAAAGCTGCCCAAGGGTTACTTGTGGGCAGCAAGGACCAGCAAAACCAGAGTAATTTGGCTTCCAAGCTGGCCACATCCAAGCTGCCTGATGGTGGCCATGTCCACATGACACAGTTCCAAGGCCACTTGTCACCAGATGGCAGCAAGGGGAGCATCAGCTCACAGTGTGGCTGAGGACAGCGGTGAGGACACACAGTGCTCCCTGGGCCATGGCCAGCCTCCACTGAAGCCGCTCAGTCTGGTGCAGAGTGAGCGGAAGGTGCAGAGAAGGACATCGGAGGAGTCTGGAGTCACTTGTCATGGCACCGTGCTTGGTGGCACCTGCTGCTCTGCTCAGATATTGGGGCATGGTGACCAGAGGAGCTTGTGCAATTCACATCACAAGGTGGATACTGGTGACAATGCCTGCACCAGGAACAGCAACTTCGTGAGGGTGGCAGTGGAACCTTGGCAGGCCTTCCCATGGGTGCCAAAAAATGCAGCTGTCACAGAAAGCCCTTCCTGGGAGCAGAGTGAAGGAGTGAGATGGGACCAGTGCTCACAGCTCATGACTGGCCATGAAGAGCATCTTCAGGACACAAACCAGGCTTCAAGGAGCATGTAAGAGTTTCAAAGTCAGTGCAGCATCCAAACAAGTCTGCGTAGTCCAAGGTCCATCTCCATCAGCAACAATCTAAGGGGAAGCCCAAAAGAGAGGAGAGAAGGTCTCCAGTGACTGTTCCTTTGGGACAACATTCCCACTGTGTCTGGCAGTGCAGTCCTGGAGAGCTTCAAGAAAATTCTGAGGGGCTGAGTGGGCACTGGCAAACACACAGTTTGCTGCTCTTGGACTCCAGGCTTCCATTTTGGAGAATCGATGGATTCTCAGGGACATGGACGACACAACAGCCCTGGGATCCGGGAGGACTGAAATGAGGATATGATGAGTCTGGAAATGGTGAGTGCTTTTAGACATCTGATGGGAAATGCTGGCTGCTCCAGAGCAGCAGGGAGTGAGGGGAGGCTGGGAGTGGGGGAGCCTGGTACAGCGTTGGAATGGTAGGTAACTGCTGGGGATCCTTGGGATTCTTGCCCTGGAGAAGAATACATCTGAAGGAAGGAGAAGCTACTGGCTGTCCTGGCCTTCCGACTCCTTCCTCAATCCAAGAGTGACCCCAAAAGAGCTTCTAATGATGAAAGCTTCTCCACACAGGATGGAGATGGATCACAGGGTTCTCATATTGGATGTGGGGCCAACGTGGATGAGCAGCAACATCTGCAGTGACAGGAACTCCAAAGCAAACCAGAGCCTGCGGTTGGCCGCACTGAGCTGGGGAAGATAATTTGGCTCGTGCACATGGCCAACACCATCACGGAGCTGCGACCTCCACTAACCACTCCTGTGGAATCATTTCCTGTGGTGGGTCAAGGAAGAGAACCCAAGGTGCTCAAGCTGCTGATGCATCAGAGGGATAAAGAAGAGCACAGTGGAGCCTAGACTGTTTTTTCCATGTCCTTCCATGGCGAGATGAGGGACAGGAATACATCCTCAAAGTCCAGTGGGTCTTCAGCTCCTGGCCTATGAACCTGGCATAGCCTGTGTAGAGATCCATGTGCAGGACGTGACCTCCCTAGGAAGATCTTCCAGGACACAAGTGCTTCCTTCAGGATGCACCTGAATCTTCTGCCCAACCAGCAGTAATTGGGACACAGCTACGGGGGGTGAGCAGAGGGCACTGCTGGGTACAACATGGATACTAGAGAGGTGAGGAGGAGATGTCAGGTGGCAGGGGGACCTCCTGGGGTAAAGAGTCCCGGCAGCAGCCACATGTCATAGCGTCACAGAATGGTTTGGGTTGGAAGGGACCTTAAAGACCAACTGGTCCCAACCTCACCACTACGCCCTGAAGAGGGTGTGGATCATGAGGTGCCCACAGGGCAGATGTGGTTCCCAGGCATTGGGAAAGTTGGGGCCTGTTGAGTGCTGAGATGCAGAATTGGAGCTGGGTCTCACCTTGCACTTTCTAGGAAGGTCCTGCTTGACCCCAGCAGTGTCAATGGGGCTCGTGACCAAGTCACAGCTGCTCCACATGGGAAGTGGGGGGATTCCCGTTCTCTTCTGGCTGGCTCCAGGGGATGGCGGAGGACGAGGGTGCGGGCGCTCATGGCTTCCCACAACGAGCTCGGATTTACCAACTCCTTGGATTTTTGTTCCTTTTTTTTTTTTTTTTTTTTTTAACCCTGCTGCACGCGTCCCATTCTCCAGACGAGAATCTCCTCACCGCCCTGGACCCCCGGTGGGCAGCTGCGGGGGCTCAGCCTCGCGGGACAGATGCCCGGCCCGTGGCCGCGGGCGGCACGAAGGGCGCGGCGGCGGGGGCATCCCCCGGGACCCCCCGGCCCTCCGCCCCTCGCCGGTGCCGGCGGCGCAGCGAGCCCCGGCGAGGCGGATTTGGGCTGAAATCACGGCTTTCTCTGGATGATCGACAGCTCCGGGAGAAACCATCGGCGGGCCGGGGGGAGCCGCCGCCCGCCCGCCGCCCGCCGCCCCCCGCCCGCCGCCGGCCCCGCCGCCCCCCCCGCCGCCGCGCCCCCCCCGGCCGCCCCCGCCGCCCCCGGAGCAGCGCGGCCGCGGCGGGGCGGGGCGGGCGGCGCGGGGCGTCCCCCGCGCGGCGGCGGCGGTGGCTCGGCCCGGCCGCGGCGGCGGGGCCGGCGGAGCGCTCCGTGCCCGCGGCCGTGCCCGCGCCGGCGGCGGCCCCAGCGAGGGGCTCTGCGCTCCGCTCCGCGCTCCGCCGCCTCCATGGAGCGCCGGCCGCGCCGCCTCTGATGCCCGGCCCGGCGCGCACCATGGGGCCGCTGTGGCTCTGCTGCCTGCCCCTCGCCCTCCTGCCCCTGCTCGCCGCCGTGGAAGGTAAGGGGGGCGCGCGGGGGGCGGGGGCCCCGCGGGTAGGGCGAGCCCCCTCCGGGTTTTCCCCGTTTTCTGGGGGATGGCACTTTGCCCCCTGCCCCCCTCCCCGCCGCACGCCCTTCGGAGGGGAGGCGAAGTTTGGGGAAGTGCTACCCCAGCCGGAGATGTCGCCGCCGGAGCCCGGTGTGTCCTGTACGCTCCCCCCCGCCCCCAGACCCTCCCGATCGCTGGCCGCCCTTCTCCCCGCCATCCCTGCGCCGGAGTGGGCATCCCTGGGTACCGCGGAGGTTCCCCCGGGGATGCCCGGCGTTCACCGCCCCGTGCCCGCTGCTGCTCCCGGCAGGTTCTTTGGGGTGCCCCTCCGCCAGGCCTTACCGGCGTTCTGGAGCTGGTGGCCGGCTCCCCTTCGGCGTCGTGGCGTTCCCGGCTTCCCCAGGAGGAGCCGAGCTCCCCGCCGAGGTCCCCGGTGCTCAGACAAAGCAATGTGAGGCGGCAGGTGGGGAGCTCCAGGGCTGGGTGTGCGGGGCCGGCGCAGGGTGGGAGCCCCACGCTGGGGTCCGTGCAAGGGGAGACTCGGTCACCTGCTCCCCAGCTATCCCAGCCTGCTCCCACCCCGCTGCACGGACACCCAGGGAAGTGCCAGAGAACTGGGTTGGGCAGGGGCGAGGGCCAGGTGTCAGGCCAAAAACCGGCTCGTCCTGGAGCGGCGTGGTCCAGGGATGCCTGTCCATCGTGGAAGGGTCATGGTGGAGGGGTTGGGCGGCTCCGCTGTTCCTCCGGCTCCGTTGGGCTGGTGCGCAGGCTGGGTGGCCACTGCTGGCCCTGTGCGTGCTGGGCGATGGGAGCCACTCGGACGGTGTTTGTCTGGAGCACGGATGAGGCACCATTTATTAAGTTGGAGTTTTGGGAGATGACTCATGGGTTGGCCAGCTATACATCGTGATATTTACAATATGGGAGCTTGGCATAAATAGGACTATTTACGTTGCAGCGGAGAGTGCTCGCCAGCTCTGCTATTCAAATGAGCCCAGCATGGTTTTAATTATGGGGGGGAGGGTTGGGGTGAGGAGCATGTTTGTGAGAGCATACGTGTCCATGCAGGACGTCTGGCCCCATCCGCTGGTGGCCTTGACACTTCCAGCGGGGTCTGGGCTTGGCCAGCGGTGCCCATGCGCACTTGACCCTGACAAGCTGGTGCTGCCAAGTGTGGTGTGCCGGGTGCCTTGGGCAGGGATGGGGTGGCACTCCGCCCCTCCTCCTCCTCCTGCTGCCCAAGAGGTGCTGTGGGTCAGTGGCTGGCTCCCAGGGCTCCCGTGCACGTTCTTGGAACATGAGCGGCTTTCCGACCATCATGGCAGGAGCAGCAGGCACTGGACGCATGAGTGCCAAGGGATGGGGAGTATATCTAGGAACGAGGGGCTGGCCAGTGCAGCTGGGGTGTTCACCCACCCAAGATGATCTCTCTAAGGTGTGCTCCTCCACAGACGGGAATTGTCTCAGGGAGATGGTCAGTGGGCTTCCAGCGGCCATTCCCAGCCGGGGCTGACTGTATTGGTTTGCGTTTGGCGTGGTCCCCCTGTGCTCCTGCTGTTGCCTCTTGCCCTGTGTACATGTGTGTGTGTCCTGGGGCTGTGATGGTCGCTCTCAGTGTTGGTGTGGGCAGCCAGATCCCTAATCTAGCCTCCCAGGAAAAGGCTTCTGGAAAGATGGCAAGGTGAAGACATGTGGGATGCAGCTCCTTGGGCGTGCCGCTGCTCCTTCCTTTCTGGAACTGCCTCTTCCCACCGCTTCCAAAGTGCCTGGATGTGGTGTCCACCTGCATCTCTGAATACTCTGGATCCCTTTGGTGTGGACAGATGGACCAACAGTAGCTGCTGGCCATGGAGGTAGTGGCTGGACCTACCATGTTCCCACAGCTTCAGGGAACCTCCATCACCAGCCCCAGCATATTCCAGGGCCAAAATGGGGGCTGAAAGGCTTGTTCAGGGGAAAACCAAAATTCTGGAGGATCCTGCCTCTTGAGTCCTGTTTTCAGCTATGTCACAGAGAGCGTTTCTGTACTGCTGGTAATTTCACTTGTCTCCTCTGTGCCTCAGTTTTCCTAATTACAAGGCGTAAAATAATCCAAGCATCTTTCCCAAGGGAGCCGCGAGGTTTTGTTAATGAACATGACAAAGTGCTTTGGGATCCGTGGTTGAAAGCGCAGCCTTAGTCAGTGCGGCTGTGTGTGGGGTGTTTATTTATCTACATGCTTTATATTTCTCTGTGCGCTATATATTCACTTGCATTTAACAAACCTTAATTAGAAACAAAGCCGATAGGGAAGGAAATATAAACAGGAGTGTGCATGGAAATTGGAAGTTGATTGCTCACTGGCCAGCAGAACGCATGGTTCGGGCTCAAGAAGGAAGGCTGTTTGGTTAAAACCGCCTCTGTTAAAAGGAAATGTAAAAAGAACGTGAAACATAAATCAGTATGGAAAACAGGGAGGTGGATGACAACATACATAAAGCAGAGGTTAGGAATTGCCTATAGTTGTGAAGGCAGTTGGAAGGTAATGTGTCTGCAGCTGAGAAAGTTCAGGCTTCTCAAAGGAAAGTTTTTTGTGTGTTTTTCAAAAAAAAAAAACCAAAACCCAAACCAGAAAGTCAAGAACAAAGGAGTCCTGGAAGGGTCTGGATCCCACACCAGTTGGTAACGCCGCTATCGCTAGCGGCCCCAATTTGTATTCCTGCTGCGTAGGCTGCGCGCCGATCGCAGGACTGACGCTCCCGAGGTATTTTGGGGGGAGCTGGGAAGGACATGGAGGTATTTTAAAATCAACAGCCTGGCTAACTCACGTGCAAGGAGGGAAAACCAACCCGATGGTGTTCTTCACCCCAGTGGAGTTAACTTTTCACAAACCTTGTGGTGCTGGCAAGCCTCCCGAGGACTGGAGGAGAGCCAGCCCTGTGCCAAAAATGCAAATGGAGACACGAGATGGCCCTGCTATCAGTGAGGGTGTGGGCAGCACAGAGCCAGCAGCACGGAGGCAGCGACAGGCTCCAGTGGGCGATGGAGAATTGCCCGGCATGAGTTTTGTGGAGAAACAGGATCAGGGTGAGGGGACTCGAATTTGAGCATCAGCTGTGCTGAGCAGTCCTAATCCTGAGCCCAGTCTTGGGCTTGGAGAGGGATGCTGGGGCAGGAGGGCTGTATTGGCTCCAGGGCTGGGTTTCCCAGGGCATGCTGTGGCTGAGGTGCTAGACACGGACGTCCCTGCCCATCCTCCAAGCAAGCTGGAAACGGGACTTCAGTGCTTCTGCATATTTAATAGTGAATTATAATATATATAATATTTACGGCACTCTCAGACACATGGTGGGATTGTTAGGGGGTCCTATGCAGGGCCAGGATTTGGACTGGATGATCCTTGTGGGATTCTTGTGGGTCCCTTCCAACTTGGGATATTCTGTGATTCTGTAGTATACAGTATGTTTAATTTCACTTATGCTGTAACATACTGCAATGCTAAAACATAGTCTCTTCTCCTGTAGCTATGCTGAGCACCTCCACATGGGATGTGAGGAGATGCCAGGGACACAGGTTGGTTTGGGACTTTGTGTATCCATCTTTTTGGTCTCCATAGAGGAAGACTTGAGCTGTCCCTTCAGGGTTACAGTCACACCAGAGCATTGCTTTGACCTTGGTGCTCCATGGAGATAGATGGATGTTCCAGGTGTGCCAGGACCATGGGAGCTTGCAGGAGCCTCCCAGCCAACCTAGCATGTTCCGGAGGGATGCAGCAGAACAGCAGGTCCAGGGAAAAACACAGGATCTGTCAAGAGCTGATCCTTACTGCGACCTTGAGCTCCAGATCTGCAAACACTCTCCTCAGAGCAGGAGGGGAGCAAATGTTTTGGGACAAGTGGGACTGAGGAGCAGAGCAGAGTCTGTGGTTTCGGCCTGGCCCTGTGCCACCCGTCTCCCTCCTGCTGCTTTCCCCTCCCCTCCATTTCCTGGGTTAATTTTTGACAAGGCACATTCCTTGCACCCACCAGCCCTTTGCATTATAGGGGCAGCAAAAGGGAAAGCTCCTTTTGGAGAGCAAATAAATCGGTGTCTCATTTAAACATTCTGCCCTTACTACTCTGATCTGTGGCTTTTCCAGGCGGGAGCAGCAGTTCTCTCAATACCTGCTGACTTTCCGTCTTCTCTGGGTGACAAAACACAGGGAGAGGATGGTGTAGGGGACAAGGTTTCTGGGTTGGTGTGGTCACTGATGTCCCCCAGCTCCTTGTGTCACCCCACAGAGGGTGTGAAGGGGACGCAGCTGTGCCCTGGGGATGCTGCAAGGGGTTTGGGGCTGTCCCCAGGGATGGGAGCAGCCGTCCCCTTGGAGACAGGCTGAGGACCTGCCTGCACTAGTCAGGGCCCTTTGTGTACACATACCTGAGCTGCTGGAAAGAGGGGTGGGCTCAGGAAACTGCCCGAGGAGATGGGTAAACAGTGGAGGCTGTGACAGCTCCCGAGGCGTGATTGCTTTGGGGCGAGGGATGAACAGAGCCTGACCCTCCACTCCTGCCCCAAAACGTGCCCGCTCCCCACACACCAGCCCTGCTGGATAGGAATGAGGGTGGCTCTGGCTGGGAGTGGGGTTCCCATCCTGCCGAAATCCCATTTTTACCGAGGAAGAGCCCCGTCAGTTCCCAGCCTTGTTTGTAATCCCTCCCATACCTGGATCTGGTTTATAGAGAGATCGGGGTGAAGCACAGCTGCCAATTGGATCTGGCTGGGATGGGGGGAGTGGGGAGATGCTCAGAGGCAAAAGTTCAGCCGTTAGATAAGGGAAAGGATGGGGCCTCCAGTGATAAGGGGCTGAGTGCGGCGTGGGCTGGGCGGGAAGGAGGGAGAGGCAGCACGGGCAGTTTCGAGGAGCTCTGCCCAGCCTGTACCCAGGGATTCAGGGAGCACTGGGAATGCTGAAGGAGGGCAGGGACCCCTTGAAGGCCAGGTGACAGCAG